AAATTCAGTGATGACATAAGGTGTCCGCAAAAAGGGTAAGCATGTCCTGCTTTGTCGGTACCGCCTGCGACTTACACAATTCTCTTAAGTGTTTGTCTGTTGCCTAAAGCTGCATGCAGCAATACCCATGCCATATGATGGTGGCTTGTAAACAATCTAGTGATCAGTATCATGGGCAATGATCCACAACATCGTGGTACGATGCCACATGGTCATCCAAGTCTTCAATGTTGACCGCCCAGTCCATAAAAGTAAGTGCCAGAGAGTAAGGAGGAATGAAAACTGCCTGTGAAGGTCATATTGGACAGCATTGCGAGTCATGATGACAAGCACCATGTCATAATCAGAAAATTCCTCTGAACGTATACCATAAAACTTGACCAGGATTTTGATAGTGAAAGCTTGATTGAAATGCTTACAGTAGCTGTAAAGCAAAATGTGTTGTTTTGCAAAATAATTTCCACTTGAGAAGTAATCAAGCCTTTACTTTCATCCAGCTGTCCCAGATATCAGCTTGATTTAATGCTTCACCACTTTAAGAAGTAATCCACAGTTGATTTTTGGTTGACCGTATTATACGTATAGAAGCACATCTGTCTTCACCAGCTCTCACAGTGATAACCCATGTGTTATGGAAGCATGTTGATTATGGCATAGCTAGCTTTAGTTTACAGAGCAGAGGAGACACAACATCACTCTTTGTGCATGGAAATTGTAGATATAAATTCAAGGATACTATGAAGTTCTGAAATGCTAAGGAAAGGGGATATTCAGGGATTGCACAATTAAGTCAGTTGATATTGTGTATACGCAAATGTAGTTCATCTCCACAGGGCTAATAGAATCAGACATTCTTGACATATGTGAGTAAGTGAGTATGGTTTTGTGCTGCTTTTAGCAATATTCCAGCAATATCACTGCAGTGAACACCAGAAATGAGCTTCACACATTGTACCCATGTGGGGTATTGAACCCGGATCTTTGGTGTTACGATCGAATACTTTCACCACAAGGCTACCCCACTGCCCCTTTGTGAATTAGATTACATGTATATCATCCGGATAATATCAATCTTTTGCCAAGGACATGATGACCTATACCATGCTTTTCACTTTATAGGCATTTTTGATGACTATATAAGTGCTTTTCACCTCAAATTTGCAAGTCACTAAAGTGACCTTAACAGGAATAGTTATGATTATTCCTCAGCATACAAGATGTTTTCCCACAAACTAATAATGGACCTGATAATCATTCTGGTCATAGGTTTAATGGTGAGTCAGCCAGGTCCCTGGATATACAGTTATGTTTTGTGCAGGCTTAATATCATATTTCTTCTGACATTTTGTTAACAGAGATCTAGGTGCACATAATATGTATGTGTGATATATATCTTGCACCAAAAATAAGTGAATCATTACTTATGGTCAAATGTATTTCGAGCTTGGAGCTTATTATAGGATTGGCTGCTGGATGGACGAAAATAAAGATTGATAAATATCACATTTCTTTCTTAATCTTTCGTTGACGTTAGATGCTAGGGAAAATATGTCCTAATAAGTTGAATTTATAACATTGTAAGATTGTACGATTTAATGACATTTTAATTTGTTTTAAAATATCAGTTGAATAGAAAACAAATTTGTGATATAGCACAGTTTGAATTTCTGTGGTTTAGAGTTGATTATCGAAATGTTTTCTCATGGATATGTTGTTTGTTCACTGATCACTGATCATTAATCAAGAATTCCGCGCCAGAGAAAAATGAGTCTCAATTATCTGCAGAAACAGATACCATAGGGCGTAAAAAACAAAATAGTGATGAAAATTATATGAATGGGTAATTGAACATCAGTGATGACACCAGGTGCTCATTAAAAAATAACCATATCCTGCTTTACTGGTAGCAACCGCCATTCAAAGTAAGTCTTTGTTTGTTGTCAATTGCCACAGCCAGCGATACTCCTGCAATACTATGGCAGCCTGTAAACCATTGTGTCTGGACTAGACAGTACAGTGAATGAGCCTTTGATAAGTACAAGAAACACATACAGGGCTGTTCAATAGCCAGGCATCCTGTCCAATATCTTATTTCATTTCATATCATACTTGTTGAATAGTTGGCTTAGAGCTTCCTAGTCAATTATTTGTGGCCCCTGGGGTCATTATTATGACATGATTTCCAGCTTGGCAGTAATGCCAGAGATTGATGTGTAATGATTGGCTTTAGCTTAGGCTTTAGTTCATATTAATCGAAAATTGTGAGATGGAGAAGACATTAAGTTCCTAATTGTATTGTTGATGCAGTCTGCTTACATAATCTAGGTTGGAGTTCATTGTATGATTCCGACAATATCATAAGCATGCGGATAGTGATAATACCAGATGTTTGTGAAAAGTTGAGCATAGCATGCCCCATCAGTGGCACCTATCACAAACACTTGCAAAGGCATGTGAATTGTGCATCTGAAAAAAAACAACCAAGAAAATATGTGGTTTAAGTCAAAGTAGAGAATTGCATCTGACATAATTTTTGTCACTGGTGCATCAAATTTTGAAATGTCCACCACATGTCTACCATAAATCTTTTTGAAAGCTTTACTGAGGCCTTGAATGTTATTACCTTCTTCAAACAACTTTTGAGCAAGAGCTGTATGACACTCTCTGAAATCTTCATAGAAAGAGTATGCTTTTTGTACCTAAGAAGTTGTGAAGTGTCAACACTAAAGGCTGGAGCCTCTTGCATATTGCTCGACGTAAAGGGAAAGTTGACAGTTGGAAAGTTGAAGTCATCCCTCTTGTCATAGTCATAAGGCTTTAATTAAAGTAAGAGTTCTTCTCTCTAAAGAAAAAAACAAACAAAATTATCATCTTTTTGATACTTCTGTTACCATGGTTACTTAAAAGATTGCTTTTTACTTTTTTTTATGAGTAACTGAGAGATAATAGTTGCCTCACAAAGTACATTCTATTTGAATTCTGAACATGACTTCACAAAGTAGTGTTTATGAAACCTGCACTGATGATGATGACAGGCATTCATTACAAGTTGCATTCTTGTGCGTCATTCCTGCTTAGAGTCTTTAACAAACTTTCAGTTAATGTGTCTGTTTTCTGCAACTGATGTCTGAAAATAAAGTCCTTCAAGGAACACATTGATATTCTTCTAATTGAGGGAACTGATAGATTCAGGAGGCACAAAAGCAGACAATGGGGATAAAATTATTTTCTGAGTATGACAGAATTGTCACCTAGCAACTGACTTGCCATTTACACATATAGTTAGGAACATATTCCATATTTAACTAATGTCCTCGATTGAAATCATGAAGTTGATTCCAGAGCTATTTTCAACATAAAATGAGTATTGTATTAAAGGCTATTTCTGTACATCAGGAACTGCAGGGTGGAACAGAAGTTGGATTAAAGTTATTTAAGACCAGCTCGTGATAAAATCAACTGCCATTATGCTGTGTACAGTGCACATGGGGGACGCCATATGGTTAAGGTCTTGGTAACAGTATACTGCTGTGATGGGTTGTAGCGGATACACAGACAGGGAAGACGGACACAGATAGCAAAACTTGTTTTGGATGTCTCGGTTCCCACAAACTGTTTTTCATCTGCTAGACACAAAGGAGCTCTGGCACCTGGGGACAATAGGGGAGATACACAGGAATTGATTACTTCAATCATATCAACACATCCATTAATTTTCAAAGCTACCCTTCAAACATTGCTTCTAACTAATTCATTCATTGTTTCACCAAGAATGCATACATGTTAAGTTGTTAACACTTTGCACAGAGTGAACATTCTTGAAAATGCATATGAAAATTAAAATACTTTTAGAACATATAAAGATTACAATATATCAAGAATACTCAATGTTTGAGAACATGGTCCGAAGATATTCTAGGACATTTACATCAAATCCTGATTGTAAGTTTAAGAATGGTTATGACTATAGCATTGTATGGGGTGCATATGAAGAATGTATTTATGATATGTTCATGAGCATATAGCATTTCATTTGGAATATGATACTTTGCATGTTCTATAGATACTGTTAATCAAAGATACTAAGATGCACTATTTGAATGATATGTATATTTGCTATTAAATCACTAAATAGTTTCTGTAGAATTGCCCACTGATTTATATATGTTCCTATCAACTGGGTTACTAGTATATCTGTTATATCTCCCAACTTCCGCCTCCTTATGAGAACCATGAGGAAGTGCCTACTGCTGCCAACATTGCTCAAATGTCAGAGGTCAAGGTCATGCTGCCTAAATGTCACTAGCAGATGAGGCCATGGGAAAACAAAGTCAATGAATACATATTGAGGAATTAGATCAACTTAAATTGTGAAGAAATAGATAAAAATATTAAATGCTATATATGATGTTCTTGTAGAGAAAAAACTTGTTTCTGTTTAGGTTTAGTGAACTCTACATAATTGTTTTTTACATACACAGAACTGCAGTTGTGTTCATGTTAATAAACATATTGTATATTGTTTCATAAAAGGAATTATTATTTAACAAATGTTATATTTGGGATAACACTTTCTTGGTTAAGAACAAAATCTAGTACTTAATGGGTTGAGTCCCATCTGGGATTCAAACCCACACTTTCAGAGTGAGGCACCTAATTGCCAGCACACAAAGTCAGCCATTTAACCCACTCAGCTACCGAGGCTTCCACAATAATGGAAATCCGACAAATGGTAGTCTAGATCACTTACTTTGTGTACCCCTCTGACATATGAACACTTGCTAAAAGGCATTGTGTGTTCATAATTATTATTTAATAAAACAGAAATTGAGATGTATGGATGAAATATTCAGGAAATGCTGTTTTGTCACTTTTAAGACCTAGTCACACATGTGTGTCGAAAATTGTAACTTGATACAAACAAACTTTTTCTGGAATAAATATTCAACTGATTATTCTGTTAAATCATTAAAGATTAAGAATATTGAATGATTTTTCAGGGTACTGATGTGCAATGCAATTCGATCAGGACGTGTTGTGATGACTATCCGACGCCGCAGAAAGAGGCCTGCACCTCCCCCTCCTCTGCCGATTAGACACACACCCTCTCTCCAGGACATGCCCTCAAAACCTACAGGTGTGACTGGCCCCTACTCTCATGGAATCTCCCAGTCTTTCACCTGCCTCCCTACAGAGTGTAGTAGTGACAATGGTGGATATGCTAATGGTGGTATACTTCTCAACAGCAATCTGTGTACCTCAAACAATGAGCTTAGCATCTCCTCAGACGACGTCTTTGCTGATTCCTCAACTCCAGATGATAAAATAATTTATGTGAATTTACCTCAAAGTAGATATCTAAATGGTAGGCTGAACCACAACATTCGGAGGCCTGCTGCATCTGTTGATAATGTTGATTGTTATGATGGCTGTGGACAGAGGACTCAAAGCACATCTGCTGTTGAAGATGTGGTTAATTGGTCTGCTGATCCAAGAGCAAAAGGACATATGACCAATGGGCATGAAATCATGGACCTTCAGCGCCAAAGTTCCACATCTACCCTGGTGCCAGACAGTAGTATGTATGGTGGCAGCACAGACTCTCTGATCATGCCACAGTACCAACAGCGCCAACATAATGGCAATGTGACACCAATCAGACGATTGGTGGAACGTAACCTTCTGAAGAACTCCGGACTATACAACCGATCTGACTGTGCATCACCCTCCTCAGGGAGCCTCTGTAGCTGCAACTCTGAAGGTGGCAGTAACAAGTCTTCCCCTTCATCAGTGGGCAAGGTGAGCAGCATTACTTGTTTTTGTAGGCTACAATAATCGAAAGGCATCGCAATCATGATAAGTTTCCTGACACAGTTTCTTCACAAACCAAGCTGACGTATTCACATTTTTTCCGTTTTTCCAATTTACCATCAGGGGTACCTGGCCTGGAAACCTGCAGAGGAGGGACATCCTTAAGTCAACAATATAAATAAATTCTGGACTTATTTTATTTTAGCCAGCTTCTCTCCGAAAATGCAAGGGCCATCCCTTAACTTTGCGGTGTTTTGTTTGTTGTTTAACGGGGGGGGGGGGGGGGGGGGGTAGCCTAGTAGTTAAAGCATTCGCACATCATGCTGAAGGGCCTTGTTTGATTACCCACATGGGTACAATGTGTGAAACTGATTCCTCGCCAGATACTGCTGGCGTAAAGTCCAACTTAGTCACTCACTCACTTGTTGTTTAATACCGCACTCAGCAATATTCCAGCCATACGATGTCAGTCTGTAAATAAGCGAGCCTGGACCAGACAATCCAGTAATTAACATCACAAGCTTTGATCTACAGTGATCTACACAACTGGGATACAATGACATGCATCAACCAAGTCGACAAGCCTGATCACCCGAGATCCTAGGATGCATGGTGGTTATTGATATTGTGTAATATTCAGTAAAGTGACATAGAGAAATGTATTAACATCTAAATAAGGGGCATCAGGAAGCAGGACATATATATTGTTTATTGCTGTGACATTTTGGTTAATCACCACCATTCTGCTGAAGCAGATAAGGGAGTTTTCAACTGGGCAGTTTATCTTGTAGAAAAGGCTGTAAAAAATGCCTTGATGAATTGAGTGCTGGTTGATGCCTGACATGCCATTCTTGGAACAAGATTATATGGGGCTGGTGATGTGGGACCTGGGTTACTTCAGCTGGCAGGAAACATGTCAGAATTTTGCAGAAAATTATTCCTGTATGTCAACTGTCATTAGTGCAGCCAAACAACCACTGCTGAAATCCAGAATGTGGGGAAGGACCGGCCTAATTGCCATTCAGACTTAGGCACTCCATGGTGGAGCTGAATTAAGGCCTGTGAAGTGATACATGGATAGGCATGATTAACAAGAAAAAAGCTGACAGTGTCATGCTGACACTATGGTTCACATACTGAAGGTGAAGCAATGTATGTCCTCAGAGAAATTTGAAAAAGTACATTTGGTGAAACTTATCATGTTGAAGCAAGCTGAATTATTTTTTGTCCTTTGAATGTGTCAAGACATGATGATTGATACCTTACAGAAGCAGATGTGTTCAGCATAAGACAAAGTGTACATGGCAAAGTGTTTAACTAAAAAAAAATCATCATACATTTTAGGATCTCGTGAATGATTATGTCTCCCCCAGAATGGAGGGAGACATTGTTTTTGGCACGGTTCCCGTCGGCGTCGACGTCGGCGTTCCCACCGTTTCCGGACCATAACTCAGAAACCGTTTAATATTTTTTCGCAAAACTTTGTATACACATTAACCCAACACTGAAGTGGTGCCTTTTGCTATTTAGAGATTTTTGACATTTTTATTTTTTCTCGTTTCCATGGAGATAACTTGAACATAGACTCTGAATGGGGGTAAGCTTGGTTTCCGGACCATAACTCGGAAACCGTTTAATATTTTTTCGCGAAACTTTGTATACACATTAACCCAGCACTGAAGTGGTGCCTTTTGCTATTTAGAGATTTTTGACATTTTTATTTTTTCTCGTTTCCATGGAGATACGTTGAACATAGACTCTGAATGGGGGTAAGCTTGGTTTCCGGACCATAACTCGGAAACCGTTTAATATTTTTTCGCGAAACTTTGTATACACATTAACCCAGCACTGAAGTGGTGCCTTTTGCTATTTAGAGATTTTTGACATTTTTATTTTTTCTCGCTTCCATGGAGATAAGTTGAACATAGGCTCTGAATGGGGGTAAGCTTTGTTTCCTGACCATAACTCGGAAACCGTTTAATATTTTTTCGCGAAACTTTGTATACACATTAACCCAGCACTGAAGTGGTGCCTTTTGCTATTTAGAGATTTTTGACATTTTTATTTTTTCTCGTTTCCATGGAGATAAGTTGGACATAGGCTCTGAATGTGGGTAAGCTTGGTTTCCGGACCATAACTCGGAAACCGTTTAATATTTTTTCGCGAAACTTTGTATACACATTAACCCAGCACTGAAGTGGTGCCTTTTGCTATTTAGAGATTTTTGACATTTTTATTTTTTCTCGTTTCCATGGAGATAAGTTGAACATAGGCTCTGAATGGGGGTAAGCTTTGTTTCCTGACCATAACTCAGAAACCGTTTAATATTTTTTCGCGAAACTTTGTATACACATTAACCCAGCACTAAAGTGGTGCCTTTTGCTATTTAGAGATTTTTGACATTTTTATTTTTCTCGTTTCCATGGAGATAACTTGAACATAGACTCTGAATGGGGATAAGCTTGGTTTCCTGACCACAACTCAAAAACTGTTCAATATTATTTCATGAAGTTGTAACATATTAACCAAGTCCTGAAGTGGTGCTTCTTGCTATTTAGAAGTTTTTCACATTTTAATTTTTCTTGTTTATGGAGACAAGTTTAACTCAGACTCTGTATTGGGATGGGCTTTGTTCCAGAACTAAACTCAACACCCCTTCAATATTTCTGTGTCTTTTGCTTATAATGAAATTTAAGAATTTGATCTTTTCAATATTATTGAATTCAAAGCAATTCTAGAATTAAAATATTGTGATTTTTTTTTTGTGGGAATGAACAGATGGGGTTTAACGTGAAGTAAACGAATGAATGGGGGTTAGGGGAGTGGGGGGAGACATATGTTTTTACGAGTAAAAACACTTTCTAGTTGTTATCTGAGATAGACACAACATATTTCCTTTGTAGCTTTAACTTATAGGAAGAGTCAATGTGAAGATTTTTGTCATGATCCATAGTTGTGTTTAAGGTAACACTGAGGTTTCAGATATTCACAAGGTATCCCACATAGTGTGGAACCAGCTGCATCAAAACAAGCATGGTATCAGTTGCAGGGTCTGATTGGTTTCTGTCCGGTTGTAGCTCACCTGGACAAAATATCTCTTCGCCAGTAAGGTTTGACGGACACTCTTAGGCCACTGACGATTGGGACACAAGATGGAGAGGCTTTTAGGTTGCGAGAGGTTTTATTTCCGAACAACACGAGGCGAGTACAAAAAAATGAGCGCGAGAAGAGCGAAGACAAGGGAGGTAACTCGGGAGTCTTCCGTACCGCTAATAACCAGCCAACACTATTGGCGCTTCCTCAATGCATCCTTGTGACCTTGTGTCTTGGCTCATTGTCCATACAACTACATTTATGAAATTTCATATGGACAAGTATTATTTTGGGTGAATTGCGCATGAAGGGATATAAATTTGTTTAATTAGCTTGAACACTTTAAAAACATTATTTTGCTACTTTGATAAAATTCCAAAAGCCGAATATGCTTCTCATTAACCATGCCTCGGAGACTTTTTGTTGTTGGCATTATATATACGGTGAGGATTTCAGTGATGCAGGTGAGCTACTAGGTCCTTTTTTCTAAATTATGGAGTTTGAGACATGTCAATATTTATCCTGTGCTATATAAATTTGAAAAAACAAAACAAACTTATAATCTTCTTTACTAAAGTGAACATAACCATAACAGGTATTTTGTAATCACAATTTGTTGAAAGCACACAGGCTCATGACCATTAGTGGTTTCAAGTTTGCTTGAGGCAGCAGTTAACAGTATAGCCCCAGATAGCTGAATCGGTGTTGATGACATATTTAATTTAGAAATTAGGTCAAAAGGTTGCAGTGGTTTCCATTTCCTGCCAAATTCAAAGTTTCTTAGCAATGTTAGGAATGACTTGAGATTCAGGGGGTAGTGCATATGAAGTGAGTAAATGAGTTGTGACTCTTGTACAGCAGAGTCAGCAATACTTAACCATATCACCATGATCACAGTGTCCTGTAAACAATCAAATCTGGACCGGACATACCAGTGGTTGGAAGCAAGGGCAATGATCCACACCATTGGGGAAAAGATGACACAGAATTATCCAGGTCACAAATTGTGAATAACCGATCCTTATTGCAGTCCCCCCCTACAAAAAGCAGGGAAAACTAGGCCCTGAAATTCCCAAGGGAAACAGAACATGAACAAAGAAGTATATGTAACTCTTTCTTTTCGAAACAGATTGAAAATATATTGTTTACAGCCTTGTTTTTCCTTAAGCAGGATGCCAGTAAATTTTGAGCCATTGTGTATTTACTCACATGTTATCGTTCACATTAGGTATTGATACATTTATTCTGTTTTTTTGCTTATTCAAATTATTTTTACTCATTTGGGTCCAATCCTTTTAGGTATTTTTGCACCAATGAGGAGGCATTTTATAGATATGTTTCTGCTTAAGATGCTGTTTCAGGTGACTTCTAATTTGTATTTGTGCTGTCCCAAGTGTGTAACGTGTCACATAATTACCAATAAGCAAGACATAGCGCCTTTTTTGTTCATTGTTCACTGCTGTGAGGTTCATGTGTATGCGATACCTGCATTCAATCAATAAGAGACAGATCTGTAAAGAAATACACATATGTATGGCGAAAAAGATATATTGGCGAATTAAGTAGAGTGTCGTTCTACAATTGATGTTTGTTTTCTAAAAACATACTTGAATTTCTACGGAAGCAAGTCAAAATTATTTCTGTAATGATCTATTTTGCACATTTTTCACAAATACACAACTTATATGGAGTTGTTACTGTCACTTTGTCAAGTACACAGCCAATCTGCAGTTCTCACTGTCAGTTTGTAAAGTACACAACTTATGTAAATTCTCACTGTCACTTTGTGAAGTACATAACTTATGTGGAGTTCTCACTGTCACTTTGTGAAGTACACAGCTTATGTGGAGTTCTCATTGTCACTTTGTGAAGTACACAGCTTATGTGTAGTTCTCACTGTCACTTTGTCAAGTACACAGCTTATGTGGAGTTCTAACCGTCACTTTGTCAAGTACACAACTTATGTAGAGTTCTCACTGTCACTTTGTCAAGTACACAACTTATGTAGAGTTCTCACTGTCACTTTGTCAAGTACACAGCTTATGTAGAGTTCTCACTGTCACTTTGTCAAGTACACAACTTATGTGGAGTTCTCACTGTCACTTTGTCAAGTACACAACTTATGTGGAGTTCTCACTGTCAATTTGTCAAGTACACAACTTATGTGAAGTTCTCACTCACTTTGTGAAGTACGCAGCTTATGTGAAGTTCTCACTGTCACTTTGTCAAGTACACAACTTATGTGGAGTTCTCACTCACTTTGTCAAGTACACAACGTATGTGGAGTTCTCACTCACTTTGTGAAGTACGCAGCTTATGTGGAGTTCTCACTGTCACTTTGTCAAGTACACATCTTATGTGGAGTTCTCACTCACTTTGTCAAGTACACAACGTATGTGGAGTTCTCACTGTCACTTTGTCAAGTACACAACTTATGTGGAGTTCTCACTGTCACTTTGTCAAGTACACATCTTATGTGGAGTTCTCACTGTCACTTTGTCAAGTACACAGCTTATGTGGAGTTCTCACTCACTTTGTCAAGTACACAACTTATGTGGAGTTGTCACTTTGTCAAGTACACAGCTTATGTGGAGTTCTCACTCACTTTGTCAGGTACACAACTTATGTGGAGTTCTCACTGTCACTTTGTCAAGTACAAAACGTATGTGGAGTTCTCACTGTCACTTTGTGAAGTTCACATCTTATCTGGAGTTCTCACTGTCAATTTGTGAAATACACAGTTTATGTGGAGTTGTCACTCACTTTGTGAAGTACATAACTTATGTGGAGTTCTCACTGTCACTTTGTGAAGTACACAGTTTATGTGGAGTTCTCACTGTCACTTTGTGAAGTACACAGCTCATGTGGAGTTCTCACTCACTTTATGAAGTACACAGTTTTTGTGGAGTTCTCACTCACTTTGTGAAGTACACAGCTTATGTGGAGTTCTCACTCACTTTGTGAAGTACACAGCTTATGTGGAGTTCTCACTCACTTTGTGAAGTACACAGCTTATGTGGAGTTCTCACTCACTCTGTGAAGTACACAGTTTTTGTGGAGTTCTCACTCACTTTGTGAAGTACACAGCTTATGTGGAGTTCTCACTCACTCTGTGAAGTACACAGCTTATGTGGAGTTCTCACTCACTTGTGAAGTACACTGTTTGATTTCTGTCTCCATGTATTTTCATGATCATACACCTGATGACCAGTTGCCAGGATAAAGAACACTGCAATACCATTAGGCTCATCCAATCATGTGTAAAATGCCTTTCTGTGTATTTCTCCATTATTAGGGCTGTGAACTTCTCATGTGCTTCTATCATTGTTATGCATCATTGACTAAATGTGTAATTCAATGGCTTCTAGACGACTGAATTAACATGTGATAACAGCAACCGCATCTCCTTATTCACCATGTTCACAGGGGATTATTTATCAGTTAACACACGAGCTGTCCAAAGGGTGATTATAAAGTCCATGATATAAAGATATCAAATATTGTATTTATTTGATGATACAGTTTTTATCATTGCAAATATAGAAATGTCTTTTTCCCTTGATTTTCTAGTGTACACTGTTAATTGATTCTCACTTTATTAATGATTTCCTTTACACCTTGCATCAAACAAATTACCTCCATGTTCATACAACATCACTGATTAAATGCTGTGAAGTTCACACTCTGTTAACCTTGATATCGATATTAACTATTTGTTCCATGCAGTGACATTATTGGCACTAAGGTCGAATGCTGGCACATGGCTTAATGCAAACCTTAGGCTAATACTAGCTCTTCATTTGTCTCTATGTTTTAAACTGACCCTCTGTCTCAACTATATTCTTATAGTGGCTCTCTGTCTCAACTATGTTCTTATACTGGCTCTGTTTGTCTCAACTATGTTCTAATACTGGCTCTCTGTTTGTCTTAACAAATGTTCTAATACTGGCTCTCTGTTTGTCTCAACAATGTTCTAATACTGGCTCTCTGTTTGTCTCAACTACGTTCTAATACTGGCTCTCTATTTGTCTCAACTATGTTCTAATACTGGCCCTCTGTCTCAAATATGTTCTAATACTGGCTCTCTGTTTGTCTTAACTATATGTTCTAATACTGGCTCTCTGTCTCAACTATGTTCCAATACTGGCTCTGTTTGTCTCAACTATGTTCTAATACTGGCTCTCTGTTTGTCAACTTCTTTTTTATGAAGAACACAATGTTTCGCAGTATATACTTACTCCTTCATGAGGTGAATAAATGCTATGAAGCAGAGAACATATATATGTACCTGAAAGAACAACAAAAGTAAAAAGAAAGTAATACTTTTGTTGTTCTTACAGGTACATGTATATGTTCTCTGCTTCATAGCATTTATTCACCTGATGAAGGAGTAAGCATAAACTCTGAAATGTCGTGTTCCTCATAATAAAGAAGTTGACATCCATAAATTCTCTTCCTGATGATTAGGCGGATTAAGAGTTTGATCTGATTGATTGTGCCTGACTTTACCCTTCATGACACTTACCACTGTTTTTCCTGGCCCAGATTTTGGCAAAAACAAGACTCACTCACTCACTCACTCACTCACTCACTCACTCACTCACTCACTCACTCACTCACTCACTCACTCACTCACTCACTCACTCACTCACTCACTCACTCACTCACTCACTCACTCACTCACTCACTCACTCACTCACTCACTCACTCACTCACTCACTCACTCACTCACTCACTCACTCACTCACTCACTCACTCACTCACTCACTCACTCACTCACTCACTCACTCACTCACTCACTCACTCACTCACTCACTCACTCACTCACTCACTCACTCACTCACTCACTCACTCACTCACTCACTCACTCACTCACTCACTCACTCACTCACTCACTCACTCACTCACTCACTCACTCACTCACTCACTCACTCACTCACTCACTCACTCACTCACTCACTCACTCACTCACTCACTCACTCCACGAATAAGTGAAATGGATAAGACCAGTAAATGGGTTCATGCTTTAAACAAAGTAATTTGTACCATCTCATGAAGTGAATTCAATATGAGACAAATTAGTTACATTTTCTTGGATCATAAAGTATGATGCATCGTAAACATATGCTCTATCTGTAACATATGTGTCTCCACCAGGCATGTGACTTTGTTCAAAATATGCCTCTGTGTTCACCCAGCAGTGAATAGAGACCCGTAAGGATGAGGCTGTTAACCTTCTAGTGCCTCACAGGCAGCTTAGCTTGTATGATCCCCAGGGAGTTGAGAATGAAAATTGCCTGCTCACTGATCCATTGATAGGGTGAAAATGTAGCACTTTGAGCATGCTTTTGGGTGTGGATTTGGTGCGTTATAAATATGCACATTATCATTATTATTATTATTATTATTATTTGATTTTCAAACAGTTGCATCTGTTATTAAAACTGTTTTATGCCAGATATGACTCACCCCTGAGTAATTAAACGTATGTAATGTGGTGGTAGTGACTCAGTACCGCAGAGTGTGTTGGAAACATCTGTACATTTGTATGTAATAGATTACACAATGCTGTAGCCCCACAGCACTTGGGCAGCACTTGTAAAGAAAGCCACAACAAATTGACTTTTTTGTCCAAGTTTGTGTGTCAAATAGCAAGTTTCTTTTCCCCATTTTTTGTTTGTGAAAAGACAAATCCTACATAGGAATTGAAATAAACTCAATGAAATCTCCATTTAGATTCATGTATTATGTAATTATTGATTAGACTTTACTTAAATAATCACAACCCATGGTTCACATGATTCATAGAGCTTGGAGACAACTATGGAAGGGTGGCTCTCTCTTCATTTGGTGGATCAGCTTGTGACCTATGTTATGTCTATGTTTGTTATGGCTGCTTGAACAATAAGTGCCTATTTTCTCCAAGGGCAATCAAAAATTACATGACCAATTACATTGATATGCATTGAAGGAGTATAGCCCATAGAGGATCTCCTTTAGGAAGAGTGTACTCTTTTGAAGGGCATTACGTGCATAACCCCATTTGTTATTTTACATAAAGCAGGGATTTCAGAAGCATCATGTGTCTCTGACATCTGCAAATATTCTATACATAAGTGCACGTTCTGCGTGTCACACTTCTCAGATATGTTTGATCAAGAACATCTGTATGTATAAAAGTCAGCAAATATCATGAAGAACTGCATGTTTCAGCGTCGCCTCATTGCCAAGTTACACCTCTTGAAGGATGGGAATGGTCTGGGCATCCACATTGCTGGTGGTAAAGGGTCCAAGAAAGGAGACATTGGCATCTTCGTGGCAGGGATCACAGAGTCTGGCGCTGCTCACAGGTGGGTACAGTTGCTGGGACATTTTGGCGCTTTCTCACTGACAGGTGTACAATTGGGATATGGTGATACATATGTTTATTAATGTTTCTGATATTGCTTCCAACAACAGCAGCTATAAATGTGTATGATGATGTTTTATTGTGATGATGAAGATGGTGATAAAGTATTGTTGATGAAGTTTATGATGAAGATTGCAATATTGTTCATGATATTGTTGATAATGATGTTAAACATAAAAATGATGATGCTTTTGAAATGTGTGATTTGATCAAAGGATTTATTGATAAAACACATTCTCTACCTTATCGCAAAAGATGGACCAAAGACACAATTTGTCTTTAACATTGAAAGTGTCTCCACATGGTAATTTATTATCTGATTTCCTCTGTTGTTATCTCGACTAGTCTAGAATATATTTGAAACTGAAGAACAGAAGTAAATTCAATATTGTGATGTATCTGTTGAATCAGCATTAGTGCTCAAATGCTCAAATGGTCTGTCTGGAATGTTCTGCACGCCTGTTATATTCACATGTTAACAGCCATACAACCACAAGTCTTGTCAAATACATGGTTTTTGTGATATATGAATAAACATGATTCCAAGCTGTTGACATGTCTGCTTATTATTCAGGGATACCAGGTGTGCTGGGTAATTTCTTGTAAATCTTACAAATAATATACAATGAAACACTGTTAAACCAAACAGGCTCTGCTGAAATTGTCCTGATTAACACGTTTTTGAGCTGAAGAGTCATAGGTACATAGTAATAGCCATGTCATTTGGTATTGGCAGTTCCAACTGTAACCATCAAGAAGATGGGGTGTCCAGATTAACAGGGTTTCACTGTATTCAGTTGTGTTGTGATACATTCACAGAGATGGTCGGCTGAAACGGGGAGACGAGCTGCTTATGATCAATGGAGTGAGTCTAATTGGGATGACGCATCAGGAGGCTGTTGACTGTCTGCGAACAGCACCCAGACTGGTACAGCTGGTTGTGGCCTCCAAGGTAATTTGTCCTTATGCTAGGTGTTTGTGTCTGAAAGCAACCATGGTACAACCTGTTGACCCATCGGTCACTTGCAACATTCCTGCTTATTGTAGGTTGTGTGGATGACCACACTTCTTTACTTTTGTTACTACAACTGTAACTACATTTCAATAAACATTCTCCTAAGTATATGATAGTATGGTTATAAACTACGTGGAAATGTCACTACACCCATAATATCTTGTCATGAGTTACATAACCAATCTATGAATGCCACTCAAAGATCTCCTTTTTGGATGAAATACAATGAGAAAAGGTTAATATGAGCTGTAAAAATTCACTTTAGCCATAAATGAATTTAGGTCAGTTAATATGGCTATATTATATATGGATAACTGGAGCTACACAGGATTTAGATATGCCAGGATACACCAGTTATTCAATGGATATGTGGTTAAGATAGGGGCCAATTATAATGAGGAGCGATAAGTCACAATGTGTGACCTGGTTGATAGTCTGTCAGCATATCCTATCGTTGCTCAACTATCAACCAATGATGTGCCCGGCCCACACAGTATTTGGAGGCTGCTGTGAACCAACTGGAATATTGCTGACTGTTGCATAAACAACATTCAACAGTTGACTTGCCTTTGCATGTGTTTGAAATGGGTGCCACTGTGGGACAGGATGACTCATCGCGGACAAGCCGTTTCATCATTGTGTGAGATTGATTCATGAACATGTGCTCTTGATATAGTTGGAATCATAGCATTAACTTTGCTTTTAGCAGAGATCTCTTATGGAAAGGGTGATGTCGCTTTTATTTACAAACAAATGATTGTCAATGGAATAGTGTTTTTAGTCATATGTAAAAGGTCGGTCTCATTAATGATAATTGATAGGCATACAGGATAACCACAGTACATGTTCATGAAATGCAAGTAGGCTTTCTGCATATTTTCAAAGTAAAGCCATTCAACTGACTTATTATAAGTGGTTCAATATTCTGCATAATATATAAGGTATCATAGGATTCCACTTTCCTCTGAACCAGACAGGTTTAAAGCAGAAGGCACATAATAAGGTTGACCAGGGTCTTGTCATTCAGAATGTTATCATCCATTTACATCCAAGAAATCTGGCGGTGTTGTCAACAGTTGTCAGGGCTCAATATTGATGTTATGGTTGCGATACCTTTAGGTCAATTATCAGAGGCCCGGTGCATTACCTTACATTGATCACATCAGACAGGGGCAGACAATCTATTAGTGGACAAAGAATTTGCCAATAGCATACCACACGATCATTATCTAAACCCCTGCTAGAACACACAGAGGTTGAAATTGCCTAACTCATTGTGGTGACGAAGTGAATGCAAAGGGAGACGAACAAATGAAAGAGATTATAAATCTGGAGTATGTCATTCATCCTCCCCTCTTAAACACCCACTGCCACATGTACTTGTATATTGATTTTACACAACAAGGACATACATCATTCCTTCTGGAATACAAACATGTTGCAGTCTTATAAAACTGTTTTCTTCAGTGATTGGGCTATTTAGAACACTTGTACATTGTTTTCATACATTTTCTGTGCTTAAAAGTGATTAGTTTTTTTTCTACATAAAAGGAGATTTATTTGTCTTGCTTTACAAATGGTGTTTCAGACATGTCAAGATGCCAGTGGTAAAATGAGAAAAAAGGCAATTTAAGAAATGTTGTCAGTTGATTTGTGTCCCCCAAAAGAACTTTTGAAACTAAAATATATTCAAAATGAGTATATTTTCAATTAAAAACTATATGTTTATTAATTTCATAATGCTTAAGAATCTATGAGATGTAAGTTTGGTACAAAATGTTTGATTATGTTGCTCTTAACTCAATAATAAGAACCCGCACTCACTCCTCTTCAATAAGTGCCCCTGACCTACTTCTACACCATTGTTTAAATACCTTTATAAGCGACAATACTATTCTCAACAAGTTACATGACAGTCCTTATATTAATATTATTTACAGAAAACACAGCGGTATAAAAGTAATGTATAACTGCCTAGTATCATTCATCAAAAACGTTTCATCAACATTTGAAGTTAGTTCCCTGCCACTCAATCTCTGACAACAAATTTAACTTGTAGTGTATGGTTTAAATAAATCTCCCCTTTGTCAATTTTGTAAGTGCCGAAGGTGTTTATTACATGAAATACAGTATGTCGTGATTGCCTATTAAATAGGAACATTGAAATAGATTTGCCTATGTATTAGCATTTCACCCTCACAATTTGGGAACAACACATACAGCCCAGTTTATATGGGTTCACAGTGTGTAGGTTAGCCATTGTTACTATGTGAGTATTGGATCTGTTTACCTTTGACATATATCAATCTGGGATGCTAGTGATAAAATCATTGAACATTCACACACTGACCTTTTCGGGGGTTGGGGGGGACTCGTTGGTGTTTCTTGGATGTGTGCTTTGATATCCAGTCCTTTGAACTAGGAGACTATTATTGTAAGAGCAAAGCTATTACTGTCAACAGAAGTATATGTATCTGTAGAGTCTGCTTCAGCTTCAAGACTAATTATATTGTCTACAGGTGACACTCCTTGCAAAGATTAAAGCAAATCATTTGACTAGATTGTGGCAAATTGGGATTTATGTTAAGTTTGACTCAAGTAATACTGTTCTCATTTTGTTCATCTCCAAACTCAAATTTTATGAACGTATGTCAATCTTGTCAATCATGACAGTCTATTATGGTAGACAGTAATTAATAGCATTATCAAAGTCTATTATGGTAGACAGTAATTAATAGCATTATCACAGTCTGCTATGGTAGACAGTAATTGATAGCATTATCACAGTCTACTATGGTAGACAGTAATTAATAGCATTATCACAGTCTGTTATGGTAGACAGTAATTGATAGCATTATCACAGTCTACTATGGTAGACAGTAATTAATAGCATTATCACAGTCTGTTATGGTAGACAGTAATTGATAGCATTATCACAGTCTGCTATGGTAGACAGTAATTGATAGCATTATCACAGTCTACTATGGTAGTCAGTCATTGATAGCATATCATCACAGTCTGCTATAGTAGACAGTCATTGATAGCATCATCACAGTCTACTATGGTAGACAGTAATTAATAGCATTATCACAGTCTACTATGGTAGACAGTAATTGATAGCATTATCACAGTCTACTATGGTAGTCAGTCATTGATAGCATTATCACAGTCTACTATGGTAGTCAGTCATTGATAGCATCATCACAGTCTACTATGGTAGACAGTAATTAATAGCATTATCACAGTCTACTATGGTAGACAGTAATTAATAGCATTATCACAGTCTACTATGGTAGTCAGTCATTGATAGCATCATCACAGTCTACTATGGTAGTCAGTCATTGATAGCATCATCACAGTCTACTATGGTAGTCAGTCATTGATAGCATCATCACAGTCTACTATGGTAGTCAGTCATTGATAGCATCATCACAGTCTACTATAGTGGACAGTCATTGATAGCATCATCACAGTCTGCTATGGTAGACAGTAATTAATAGCATTATCACAGTCTACTATAGTGGACATTCATTTATAGCATTATCACAGTCTTCTGTGGTGGACAGTCATTTATAGCATTATCACAGACTGCTATGGTAGACAGTAACTGATAGCAGTGTCTGAATAAACTGCCTATGTGGCAGATCTTTCAATCATTTTTGCATTATCGTTTATGTCATCAAAATATCAAATTGCATGGAACACCTGGCATGCTGCTCTTGGATCAGTTTGGCCTGTGCAGTGTTGATCTGAGGCCTCTAGATTGAGGGTTTCACTGGCTATGTTGCAATAATGATCCTTCAGTCCACCAAACGATGCATTTCTACCATTGGGTGTCCGTTATTATATGAATTTTGAATGTCGTCATTTCTACCATTCTCATGAATTAAATCAGTTTCAAGCTTGCAGTGTTTAGTAATGCTATTAGCACTGACAGAATTCACTGCTTGGGGGAAATTTAGAAACATGGGCAACTCTAGTAATCCTCAAAAGGAATGGCCTCGTTGAGAAATGAAAAAAGCAACAAGCATGTAACTGAGCCTAAGTCACGAACATTGTATGAAAAATGAGTAACGAAATGTTCTTAAGAAAATGGTCTCCCTATTGCAGACATTGATTTTTCATCGGAATGTTTCTCGACTAAATATCCTTCTTTGTCCTTGAATAAGAGATTGTATGGCAGAAAAAGATGTTATGTTCTTGTCTGTTTCCATTTATGCCTACAGTGCTAGTGCAGAATCAGATTTGTCATTTTGTAAGTGGAATATGACTTGGACATGTAAAATATCTTATGGTCAAATTGAAGGTGCGTATCAAGGCATGTTGTGCAGGTCTCTATCTTAAATTGTCATCGTTGTCGAGATTGGATTGTCAGTCTTTGTCAGTCTGTTTCATATTCATCAAAAATAGATTTATATCTGAAATGGGGAACTTTATCTCACAAGCAATACCAACTCAATAAGTTTTCCTGCTTGTTTTTGTAAGTTAAAGGCGAAGAGGTCACATGTAAACGATGCCAGTGTTATAGGTTCTGCATTTTTTGCAGTTCAACTTTTGTACGAGGCCTTTGGTTCTGAACTCTTATTGGCTATTGGTGTGAGAGGGGGTCTCAGTTACTACTACGTGTCGCTTAGGAGCACTTAAGATTTAGGAGGGCGAAAACAATTACATCAAATGTCTCATTTAATTAATTCCTTCACAATGTTATATGTATGGTGACAGATGTTTCAGAAACACATTTATGCAGAAAATTGCTTTCTGTTTTTTTCCAGATCCGTAAATCAGCATCGATAGCCTCAACGTTGTCATCCCAGTTTCCAGGAAGTCCAAGAGTTCTGTCCCCTGTTCCACAGTCAACCAGTCCTGTCTTCCAATCAGAAACCCCAGCTCCTGTGCCAGAGGTCATCGCGCAGACTCCATCAGGGACTGTGTTAAAATGGGAGGAAATGTTTGATGTAAGAATTATTAATATTCACTTATATATTTCAAATTGTTCTCACATTTGATGTGTTAGAACACAGGGCTTGATTAAAGGAACTTAATTTAACTTGCACTGGGTGCATATTGACATGAAAACGTTGCACCAAACAAAACCTGGGTGCACCCTGGTCCCATAAATGTATCAAAGTTGGAACAAAGACCGGTCAGCTGCCGGTGTCACATAAATTAATGACACATTGCTGTTAAGCGTAATAGAAACATGTGCACATCTTGAAGTATCCAGTTTGATTACATCAAACCTAAGAAACTGCATGACAAATTACACTTAACACAGGGATTAGTGATGAGAATGGTAAATAAATGTTACCGAGTGTGTTCAAAGATCGATTTTGTGTGGACACAAACTTGAATTTTCTTTACATGTATGTAGACATTAATATTAGGTAGACTTTTTCAATAATAGGTTGCAATGGTGCATGTTCTGTAAAGCTAAATCAAGCCCTTCAAAATGTACATGTAAGGTATATCCTACTTAGCTCAAGATCCATAGTAATCAGTTATGCAATTCAGTTATGATATGGGCAATGTAAACATAGATTTATGGTAATTAAATTATGCATATGTATAATACATCACATAATGGGTCTTTTGTTGGAATTTATTTGTGAAAGAAATGAACAAATTGATAATTAATAAACATGATAAATGTCTCATATTTGATTAACTTTGATGTGTATGACATGTGTCCATAAATATTGACACTACAATGCACAGTTTGTTGGTCTAGCAATTGCAATAACAGCCTATCATGGAAACCCTTTATCATAGATAGGTGTGTCAGACAGACAGTGTAAGCAATGTGGTGTTGGGCATATCAAACAGCCCCGAAAAGACATGTGAATGACCTATAAATACATGCAAATGACCTGTTTAGCCCATCAGCTTTCACCTCATGCCTGGGGGTGCTCTCATATCAGCCATCACCCTTCCTAGGGACCACACCAATGCTGTCCCTATAATGACAGGTTAATTTGATTTTCTTATTCTAGAAGTTCTCCAGGCCTGGACAGAATTCCCAATCACCTGATAAATATCGATTCCCAAAGTTTGGTCCAGAGCAGATATTAACTGTGAACAAAGGTGCCAAGGGGAAGGGTCTGGGATTTAGCATTGTGGGAGGAACCGACTCCCCCCGAGGGAGAATGGGGATCATTGTACGGAGGATATTTCCCAACGGTGTCATCGCAGAAGATGGCAGGCTCAGAGAAGGTACATGTATCAGAGTTTTCTGTTGCTATGTTTTTATATATTCAGAGTAGAAAGTTAGAGGTACCATATACTACCCAGAAGAAGTGAAAGTACACCTGATTCTTTCATATTAATTGGGTGCTCTTTAACTTCTTTTGAGTAGTATATTTGAGAAATACTTTTATTTATTTGAGTTTGATTATTGAAGACACATCTAATATGTTCATAAATAAAATATATTGCAAATTATAAGTAACGAATGTCTTAAGTTTAGTAGAGATATGCAAATAATAGACCTTTTTTCCCTTTTAGTAATAATTGTGTCCCTGGCTTCAGAAAAAGAAATTGAGCAAAGAAATGTTCAGAAGGATTCAAGAGTTGTGCCCCTTATTTTGACCTCAGCTTATAAGTGTTCCTTGATTACTGACTGTCAATTGTACAAAAATGTGCATAAGAAATAGAAGTTCTTCCAATATATTCTCTATTATGTAGGTTTTATACAGCATTAGAAATTTGGCACTAGTCCTATAGTGCTTGCCAAACTGCCAAGAACTGGTAGACATTTGCCATTTGTAAGAGTTCTGCTTCATGGTATCAGGACTAATGGACTAAAACTGTTAGTCTCTGTTGCTGTTGTGTCTTCATATCTTGATATCAAAAGGAAATTCATATTGTAGTCTGAAAATAAGCAACTATAAATACTTACACCTTTGATGCAGAGTTATATGTGTCAAGAATGGTGATATATTAGTGATAATGAGCAAAGGTTTTGTTCCATATTTAGCTTATATACTTCTTAAAGAACACCCAATTCTTTCATATTTTAGTTATTCTCTTTGTTAAAGAACACCAAATTCTTTTATATTACTATAGTTATTCTCTTAGTTAAAGAACACCCAATTCGTTCATAATACCATAGTTAGTCTCTTAAAGAACACCCAATTCATTCATATTACTGTAGTTATTCACTTAGTTAAAGAACACCCAATTCATTCATATAATTTTCATATTACTATAGTTAATATGTCAAGGCATGCTAGATAAACTATAGTCATATGAAAGAATTGAATGTTCTTTGTTTTCTTTTGAGTAGTATATATTCGTTCCATAAAATTTGAATTTGAATTTGAATTTGTTGATATGTTGTTGATTCAGGTGATGAGATTGTTGAGCTGAATGGAGCCCCACTGCAGGGCCTGACACACAAGGATGTTCTGTCCAAGTTCCGCTCTCTCAGGAAGGGCCTGGTGAGACTTGTGTATAGGAGCAGGCTCTCCTCACCAAGCTCTAGGTGAGTCACACAAATATCTTTTGTGAGTGAGTGAGTTACATTTAGCGCTGCTTTGAACATATTTGAGTAATAGGTCAGCTCAGTGATTGAGGAACAACCAGAGTGACAGGTTCTGACAAACCAATCAAGGTAAAACTCTTAGTCTATGATAACATTTCTTTAAAATAATTGTAATTTTTTTCTTCAAAAGTAATAAAATATTATATATATTCCACAGTCAAGGCACAGGACTACTGGCATGGCTAAGGGTAAAATTGCTGCACCTACAAATATTTTTGAAAAAAGCTTTGTTGGAGTAAATTAAGCTAATTATGGTAAATCTGTTGATATCAAAATCTTTTGAAGATTATGCCATAGGACTAGATTTGGCTGAATGTTCTTTAGTCTGCCAGAAGCTTACTTTTAATAATTTCACATCTATACTCATGGCAAGAAATACAGGAACATGGTAATATAGCAGAAGAAATTATGTTAACAATGTAAGCTACAGTGAAATAGTATTATCTGGTGTGTCACAACACAAAACACTGACAACACTGGGTAAGTGTGGAATGTACAAATACATATGCTTCCATTTCACTATGTAGCTGGAATATTGCTGAGTGCAGCGTTAAACAACAAACAAAAAACATTTCCCCCTGTTCTCTCATTTCTCAGTGTATATTGCACATCTGACAGTGCTTATGATCAAATATGAATAAAATTTTGACTGTCAGGTCATCTTGTCTTTTGTGTATTTGTCAACACCGAAGTAAGTATTAGTTGTTTGTTCCAGCCCCCACCTGTCGCCGAGCGCCTCCCCCCGAGAGTCTCCTGAAGGTAGTCCTGTCTCCACCCCTGGGCACTCCCCGCGTCACACTCCCTGCAACAGCATCTCTGACCCCTCGGTCTTCGGCATTCTTCCCAACAGCAGCCTACCACCTCTGTCCCCACTGGACAAGGCATCAATTCTCACACCAGGACTGGTGTCCCCGTTTTCATTTACAGATCGAACACAGACATTGCCACATAATCTAAGAACGCCTGGAATCAGGACCAATTTGTTCCCCACGTCCCCCATTTTGCACTCACATGGAGATAGAACCAACTTTACCATATCGGGACATAACACAAACTTTATGCAAAGGGAGGCAACTCATACTTCATATATGGGGCAAGAAGTCTCTCAGCAGAAGTATACTAGCACGGAGCTAGGCCTTTCATCTCATAGAGGAATGGCAAATGCCCAATTCCGAACTTTACAAAGTACAAATCAAGGAATAAACTTTATGTCAGTCGTTCAGAAACTGGAGTATTCTCAAAGTCGAGTGAGCTCTACTATGGGTTCAGAGAATGGATTCCTGTCTAATGGTAGTGTGCTGAAGTTAACAAGTGAAATTGGCAGTAACAATCGAATCTTTGAAGTGGATCTTCAGAAAGGTAGGAATCTAATACATATAGCTTTCAGGTAAGCACAAGCCAGTACACATTGGCTGAGCCTGCCCCACCAAGCGATCTTCGCAATACGCATGTCTTGCGTCTGTGTTACAACATGGAGTTACAATCATCCTAGTGCTCAGGTCGCTTTATGAAACGGTGTCCTGGTACTCTGGGTTTTCAGAATTTCAGGTTGTTGTGAAATGTTCAGGCTAGTAGCCTTGCCAGGTTTATTTCTGTCCCATGCTCTAAGACATACAGTATATAGGGATTTTTACAAACTTTACAATTGAGGTGTTGAACGTTAGATGCTTTGCTGCATGTCACGTCACGATGTAACTATTTATGAATTCATGTTGTTTTATGTCCCAGTAAGCAATTTTATAAACACATCATGACGTCCTATAAATAAGTGAGTCTGGATAGACGAACCAGTGGCTGACACATCAGCCAGGGCAAACATTTTGACAACCAGTCGTCAGTTTGGTCAATTTTTGTGACAAGTATTGGGTGCCAGGGACCTTTTCATCCCCAAGGGGTAACTAATAAAGGCATAACTGCAACAAAGAAACTTTGAAACCATGGCTCTGTTCCACAAAGCGATCATAGCTCTACAACTGTTGTAAGTCTGGGTTAAAGTATGGGAGTTACGGTCACCTTAGTGCTACAATCACTTTGTGGGCCCAGGATTTTGACATTCTGAACAAATTACATTGCACAAAGACTTTTTATATTCTTCTTTTATTCAATTTGTGTTTGAGTAAACATTTTGCAGTTCATGCTTGTATTCCCAAAGCAGAAACATGAAATGGTGTGACACTGTCATGTGAATATTCAATGCTTTCAGAATGTGGATTGAGTTTGGGCATCAATGTGGTGAGGAAGACGATTGGCGGCATCAGTAACATCTACGTTCAGGACATCACCCACAACTCCCAGGCCGAGAGGGAGGGGCAGCTCAGGTCAGCTAGTGTCATCATTATTCAGTGGTAGAAATGAAGTGTGTGTAGGGGGTTCATTCCCTTATACATGAAACATACTTGAACATTACTGTTATAATGACGGTCAAACTTAATTTCAACCAATGATATTACACAACACATTTACTCATGAAAAAACTTCATAATTGCAAACAATGTTGATACCTTATAGGTTTGTTGGTAGGGTCAACTAAGGAAAAGAGAGATATCTGTCAGCTGCTTCAAGGTCTTCTTTGAATGATATTGCAAGTAAAAGAGCTATTCTTGCGCCCACATCTATATCCCATGCTGTTTTTGTTCAGTACTGATAATTATGACTGAGAAGCAAATAATCTGTTCTTAGTGATTATTTTTATTTTACATTTATTTTTTATGTGCTAACCAAACATTGGCTAGGAAATTAAGACAAAAAGTCTCATGCTCCTTAAGGATGATATAAAAGTAATATGTACATACATGTGTTGTAGGAAGGGAGACCTGTTGGTGCGAGTCAATGGAAAGCCGATGCATGAACTTACCCTGTTGGATGCCTACCAGCTGTTCCGCAATCTGCCACCAGGGCCTGTTGTCATCTTCGCACAGAGAGATGACAAGAGCCTGTCTCAGGTCAGTCAATAAGCCATGTGACATGAATAATCAATAAGTCACAACATTCCTTAATGCTGCATCAGCAAATTGTACCTATTTATGGTGATCAAGATCTTATACAACCTTTAGGTTGCAAAAAATAATGAGAAATATGTTTACAACATTCATTTGATAGATATGCACCCTCTTCAGAAGTTTGAGGAAATAAAACAAAGACCATATATATGAAACTAATTTAGATGTCTTCTATTTCAAGAAGTTTCCATTTTCTCTGTTATATTTGGTTGTATGTGTCATCTGTCATGTAGTCGAAGTCTGTTTGGTGTTTCATTAATTCGCAAACTTGGCAGAATAAGCACTTGAAAACTAATTCTTTCCAATTGATTTATTTTAGTTCATGACATAGTTTAATGTCAAATATTTGATAAAATATTGGTGCCTTAAAGTTGATTGAGGGTAGTTATAAAGCTAAAATATAGCTAATATATCAAATATTGTGTTTGGCTTGTAACCAGGGTCAAGTAGAAGTAATAATTTAAAGTTGCTGTCACCTATGAGATGTAAATATATAACACATAAATTCTATTTGTACCCAATATTTTAGATATCCTTCAACTGATGTATCCACTGTTCAAAGCATAGACACCTTTGCTTGTAAAGGAATGCATTTGCGACTTGTGTGAAAGACATATGTATTGTATATTGTACATGAAAATTCTATCTCACTCTATGCACTGTAGTGTAGAATGGCTACACTACTGGATGGATAAAAGCGTATTATATACCGGTAATAGCAATTGGAAGGTTATGAACTATATCGTTGCCACAGAAGACTTGTGCCCAACCGTTAATTGGACATACAGCCTAGAGTTTTATGTCATATTCGTGTTTTCGTGCCTCTCTACTTCAGGTCTATCTTGAGTGTATGAACATACTTATTGCCATTCAGTGCTTATTGTGTCAGTTGTTCTATCTGTTCTTATATTGAGTCCATTGTCTATAACTTACCGTGAGAGTTGTGTCCCTTTATTCCAGCGCCAGGCATTTGTTTAGTGTTCAACCCTCTATCCATATTTGGTAATTACAGTTAGCCATTTTCACTAACTTGGCATGGTTTGATGTGTGGTGTGTTAACTTTATCAGTATAAGTGTTGTGTGTTTCTACTGGAGAGTAATCAAATATGTATGTGAATGCTACGTTTCTACTCTCTCAGGAATATTCAACCTAAAAAAAGAAATAGAGAATTATTTTTAACTTGTATCAGGAATTGACATTTTAAATAGATTAATCTGAAATAAACTGCTTCCTGGCTGATTGGATTTGTGCCTAAGAAAGTCAAGAATATTTGTTTAGTGTAGTATTTATATTTATAAATTTTATATTGTCATAATTAGAGAATAACCTATGAACTATAAGTAATTACGGATTATTTGCCCTGAAGGAATGGTTTAATTCTTGAGCCGTTAGCGATTCTCCAATTAAATAAGGAATATCAGATTATCAAAGACTTGGCATTTACAGCATTCATTCATGCAGGACAGAAAATTCATAATTCCGAGTTTCGATTAGGCATTTCTATATATTACTCATTGAAATTTTAAGAGAGAAAGTTAAGAAAAAGCGTATGGAATGTCAAAGCTACAGAGGAACTTCATTGAATGAAGACAGCCTATTGTTCAGATGATGTAAATGTTTTCAATTTGGGACAACATGTTTTTACAATGAAGAACTGTGGCTTCAATTAACAAATCACCATTGAGAAAATCATTAAAATGCACATGTGCAAATATCGGAAAGTTATTACACACGATCATTCAACCCATATGGGTAATAATATTGTGTTTCACTGCTAATTTTAAAGGACATTGCAATACATATGCCACCTGATATACCTTAAATGAAAATAATGTACATTCAAGTTGTGGTAATTTGTAACGCTTAGGTTTTAGGTAGGCCTATATATAATTTTGTCATTTTGTTGGACTTTAAGAGGATAATTGTTACATTACTGTATTGTTTTATTTTCTTATTAAGTAGATGCTTTTTACTTGTTGATTTTGTTTACTTTGATAAAAAAGAAGAAACTGAATTTGGAGAAAGATGTAACAATTTGAAATCTTGTTTTTATGTAGAGCCATATTTTCCCCTTAGAAATCAATGCACTAGTGTTGTTATCAAGAACAAAGAGTGTTTACTGATTGTGTTTACTTTGCATGCTCCTGTATGTTTGATGTGTGCATCTTAAATTCATGTACCAAAAGCAGTATGAGTGATGAAAGCACCAAGTTATTTGCTTTCTATTGGTATGTTCAGTGTTTCACCTGGCTTTTTAACATGAAAATACACCTTGTTTTGTTTTGAATTAAACATGTTGATGCAAAGTTTGTATGGTAAGAAGTAGTTCCAAACATGAAGAGCAACTTATATCTGGTTTATTTTCTTCACGTGACATTGTCAATGCCCTTCCCCTGTGGGTATCCTGGGTTCCAGTTCTGGGTTTGTTGTAAGAGCCTGACTGAAAGGAGGATCTGTGGTAAATCAATCTGTGACATTGTAACCTGACAGTGCGGATTGTTGGCCCATGCTATCACCCACTAGTTTGCTCGTCACCGACAGTCATGGGAAACCCCAATGAGTTGGAATAGGTCCCCAGCAACCTAGGCTGGTCGTAAGAGGTGACCAAATGGATCAGGTGATCAGACTCAGTGATTTGGTTGACTGTGTGTCATCCACCTCACAATATCGATCACTGGATTGCCTGGTCCAGACTCAATTATTTACAGGCAGCCGTCATTTAGCTGGAAAATTGCTGCACGAGGCATTAAACAAGTCATGAGAAAGCGGAACTAGTGCTGATTGGCATAAAATAACATTCATTTGCTCCAAGCCCCTCCATGCTACTGGTAGTGACATACATGTAAAATTGTACCAAATTGTCTGTTCTCTCATCTTTGTTTCTTTATCCTAAGTGTCACTCAAAGCATGTCTGCAATCTTTGTTAAATGTATCCTAAGTATATTCTTTTTCTGTGTGTGTGTATAATTGCTTTCAAATTGTTGAATGTTTCACAATCGCTTTTCATGTTGTAGTCGGAGTCATCTGACGCCTCTACCGTGACAGATGTCAGTGCTGAAAGCAAGAAATTGGAAAATAAAAAAATGAAGTCTAATGTGTCCTAGGTGACGTGACCTTTGTTGACTCACTTCCTGTCTAGTGACGTCTGGGACATCATCCACGGTCTTTCTCATATGGTGACCATGAAACCAAGTGGGACAAGTGGCTTCATGAAGTTAAAGTGGAAACCATTGTTGTTAAAAAACTTTCACTGTTCTTGTATGAATCATCTTGTTTGTTCTGTTGCGTGACTTTGTACCAACGGCAGTGCGTTACTAGTGTTTGATCAGTTACATGTATGAGTAATGGCTGAATGTCGCTAAGGGCAGATTGACAAAAAGTGGTTTCAAACTGTTAAGTTTGTTCAACTATATTTTTCAAATAGTAATATAATAATAACATGTTTTTTAATTGGTGTTCAATGTGTTTGTTCCATGTTGAATTTGAAAACTTCTACAATTTACTTGTGAACTTAATATAGTCCACTAAAAAAGCTCAAACGAGAATACAATTTTGAGACTGGGTACTAATAAATATTCTGTTCATGTGAATAAGCTTCAATGTATTTTTTTAATTACGTAATTTTAATGTAACAGAAGTGATGTAATGATATGCCTTAGTCGGCTGTATGGATAAAGAAGGGGATGCAGTGTATAAGGGTTTGTGCTATGCACATAGAATTCATGTACAAGGACAAGGTCAGCTGTATGGATAAAGAAGGGGATGCAGTTTATAAGGGTTTGTGCTATGCACGTAGAATTCATGTACAGGTACAAGGTCAGCTGTATGGATAAAGAAGGGGATGCAGTTTATAAGGGTTTGTGCTATGCACATAGAATTCATGTACAGGTACAAGGTCAGCTGTATGGATAAAGAAGGGGATGCAGTTTATAAGGGTTTGTGCTATGCACATAGAATTCATGTACAGGGACAAGGTCAGCTGTATGGATAAAGAAGGGGATGCAGTTTATAAGGGTTTGTGCTATGCACGTAGAATTCATGTACAGGTACAAGGTCAGCTGTATGGATAAAGAAGGGGATGCAGTTTATAAGGGTTTGTGCTATGCACATAGAATTCATGTACAGGGACAAGGTCAGCTGTATGGATAAAGAAGGGGATGCAGTTTACAAGGGTTTGTGCTATGCACATAGAATTCATGTACAGGGACAAGGTCAGCTGTCACCCAGGGGGAGATGGCATGTTAGTGTTTGGTCACTCGTGACTGATAATAAATTATGTCAGTAATCGCAAACAGTCTCTCTGATATCACAAGACTGTGGTTTAGCCTTATGGAGCTGGTGAAAGAAAGCATTGTAAAGAATCTGTCATTTATTACAGGCAACTTTTAGTAAGAGTTGCCTCCCTTCTACTGTTCATCTGTTGGAAAATTAGCTATAAATAATTTCATGACCACATTCTGTTATAACTTTTCGAGTAAGAAAATATCATCTACAAAACAGATTACAGGTTTATCTAAATGAAAAAGAGAGACAATGATACATAGTAACTGCCATTTATTTTAACTGACATGTTTATTTAATATCAAATCTGCAATATTAGAGCAATGATAAGTCTTTGAATGTTTTTGTTCATATTTATGAGAGATGTTGTGGGCAACAAATACTCACTACCCAATTTAGCTCACCTGTCAGAAAGTCAAGTGAGTTTGTGTTATGGCATGTTTGCCCAGTGTCCGATGTAAACATCTTCTCCCCAGACACCACCAGACCAATGAAGCTGAAACTTCACATTCTTGTTCATTGAATGATGACACCCAAATTTGGTCAAGAGGTTCAAATCAGATATTCAGTATGACTGCCATGGCAGCCATGTGAAAAAAATTAATTTTGGCCATTACTCCGCAATATGGAATGAAATTAAGTATATTTGTGGTTGGTAGTGTTAATGTCAATGCTGACAGCAACATTTTGTACGTGTCTGTCTTTGTTGGCATTTTAAACTGTTGACTGCATATCCAGGTGAGCTTCAGCACAGTGGCACTATTTTACAAGATTTTAAGCTGCCATGACATAATATTAGCTCACACACCTCGACAAAGATTGGTCATGTTACTCAAAGTACCATTAACCATCTGCAACATTTGTATGCTCCCTGACTACAGACATTCTTACTGGTCAGAATTATGTAAATTGTACCTTATCCATGAGAAGAGTAAATGTAAATTTATGAAGACCTTTTTGGGACAGAATATATTGTATCACTATTGATGGGGTGATTGTTGTGACCTGACTGGTTGTGTATTTCTTCGTACACAGACAAGGTGAATCGCTGCTACTGCTATTCTTCATTGGTTTGACTGACCCAGACACGTACAGGGCACTGTCCCACAAAGCAATCCTAGCACTACGACTATCGTAAGCCAGTGTTAAAAGTATGGGAGTTACGATCACCTTAGCGCTAAGATGGCTTTGTGGAACGGGGCCCTGGCCACCATGATATGTCTGTAATGTTGCTGAGTGTAGCACTTAAAATTAGTGCAAACATATTCCATTCACACGAAGGAATTGAATTGGGAACAAGTTATGCAACAATATTTTTGAATACAATACAAAGTGTAGCACTATGAAGCAGTACCCCACTCATACGTTCTCTGTTACACCAGAGACTGTATCAGCATATGGTCTTTGGTTACTCCAATCATACAAGTTTCTAACAATGACAGGTAGATGGGAAATAAATAAGTTGACGAAACATTCTTAGTACAAGTGTTGTTTTATGCACTTATAGTTAGAAGTGTTTTCCAGCTACATGTACATGGCTACAGTTTGAGTGGTGTGGTTTAGGTGAATGTGTGGCTTGTGTGTAGACACTAGGCTGTATATTAGGAAAGCACTGGCATAGGTAAGTCAGTGTTTCCTATCAATGCTTTTCAGAAATGTTTGTAAAATGAGCAGCAGTTCAGATAGTTATTTTACCACTAATAGTTTAGGTGATCATGATGAGATGAGGAACTTCACATGTATCCCTGATTGACATTCCTACATTAAGATATGACCAATATAGATACAAACTGTGGTTAATCAGTAACAAAAACAAATCTTATCTAATAAGAGACAGATGGCCTATGTGAAATTATGTCATGACCTGTCTTGTGACACTTGCATACATACCTCTCCATCATTCTGAAACTGATCACAGACCTATTCTGTCTGAATATATAATATATAATCCAGGCAATATTTTAGAACGGATGACAGACTTCAGATTGGAAAGTGATGATAATAGTATTTTGACTAAATTACTAAGCCAGTGTCCTAAATTTTGTGTTCATTGTCATATATATTTACTTATTTTTGTTGAAATGGACTTCTGAAAATGAAAAGTGGAAATAATAGAATATTGCTTTCAATTCCACAACAGTTCCATGTTTAACACAAAGTAAATCCAGTCGTGAAAATCAAAACTTATAAAATTTACCATCATGGTGGAGAATGTTGTTCATTGTTAGATAAATATTAATTTGGTTAGGACAGATTGTCATTGTCAGGGATAAGAATCTTCTCCAGATTTTATTGACCACAAGTTTGTTAAAATCTGATGGCTCCCCCCATAAACACCCCCAAATTATGGACCACGCTCCATTGCAAAAAAGTTTCAGCTGAAAAAAAATATCCATTCTCATTCCTGCATTGTTATTATGAGAATATGTCTCTGGTAGGTGTTGATATTTATTTACAATGATGTTTACTGAAAATGATCACAGCTTATAAGCCTACTGTATTTATGAGAATGTGTGGTTATGTGTTAATCCATACCAAATACCATTGTATTTTGAGTGTCATTTAAATCAGTATTAATTTAGTACCAGTGTGAACATTAACATTGTATTTTATGAATAACTAATCAGATTTATACATAATATATTTTCTTAAATCATTTTTGAATATTGTTAGTAATCATTATGTGGAAACAAATGGAATGTTTAGGTTTTCAAGAGAATGATATATAACCATAAAGTCTGAGGATTAATTCCCATTCTTGCGGTAATTCTAGCCATATATGCCAAAACACAGGAGGAAATCATTTTCAGGGATGACAGGATGTTTGAGGCAGGAAAAATCAATTCATTATTGGGGTAATTGTTTACAAATTTGGGTTACCATTTTATAAATGTTTATTGATTCTGTGGCTATTTGCTTTTATTTGGTAAAACTCCTTCTTAAATGAAACAAATTTAGGCTACCATTTTACTTGACTTTTCCCCTAAAAACACCTCTGAAATGGAAGTTGACCAAATAACAACTAGTAATGGACAAACTTGCAACATCTCAGAGAATAGGATCTTTTATCTTTACATTGTCAAAACTTGAAGGGGAACAAGGCTGGGTCAGTTCGTGGCAGTGTTTAGAATAAGTGCCTGCCTGTAGGTCCATGGCAGGTAGATCTCGTGTCGGGCCCATAGTTTCAAATTTGTATGGGAACTTATGGCCTTCAGTAAATTTATGTGCCAATTTATTTGTCCCAATATGCTGCAGTTTGTTTTTTAATGAGGGCATGTCGAGTGTAGTCAGGTCTTGCAGCTTCTAAAGTCTGTGGGTCTTGATGGCAGCCTGGCTATTTATTTTATTTCAAACACTGATTGGTGGGCCTCACGAGTTGGATTCATATCTGTCAAAACCTGCATTGTTTCACCTTTAACTTTGACCTTAATTTTATGATGCATATGTATCGCTCTGGCAGATAATGATTACCTACTTATACAAACTATGTCTCAGTTTGACACAAATCACCAAATGAGCATCTAGATTTAGACTTGAAATGGCAGGGCCCCTGACCATGGAACAATCTCCCTTTAATGACAGCCTATAACAAGGTCTGCCCTGATATGTACTGCTACGTTAGTAATGATCTGTGCAGAACACAAACCATGAAATGTGCTGTTTTTGTCTTTAAAGTGTATGTAAATTCAGATGCTACAAATCCAGATATGATCTTAACCTATATGTTGTTTATCATATGTATTTGTGATGATATATTTTCATGCATGCAAACTAAATATGCCAACCTTGCCAAAGCTATACAATACATGTAGCTACATTGTTACTGTTTGTATATCTCCACAAGTGCAATTCTTTCAGTGTCAGCAGTTTGTGGCATTTTCAAATGTATGCAATAAATGTTAATGTATTTATTTATGAAACTGGCGTCTGAGTAATCTTTTGTATAAATTCCAGTGAATAACAATGTAACTGAGTTTAGATCTTTTACTCCAATCAGATACCTGCTTTCGTGAGTATCTGATAACACCACCATAGTTTGTCCAGTCAGGTGAACTTTCTGATGAGACCGTCAGTGTCAAGGCTCCTCAATATTCTTGGTACGAGTGAGTACAGCTTTCAGACCAGCATATCTGATTTCTGGGTCTCCAAAAGTAGAAATGTCTAAATGTAGACAAATAAAGCCAAGATATATTGTTGAGGATTTTTTTATACACCCTGTTGTTTCTGAGCGCCATGGTACCTAAACCCAAAAGGGAGAACCATCGAAGTAATATTTGTGTTGTGTGTTTTCCTTTCAACAATGTTCCACATCAAGATGGTAACGAAAGTGAACCTAATCATTTTAGAAAGCTGACATGAGCTTTGGCACAAAAACATACTTCACTTACATTGGTGGTCACAGTTCACCTGATGTGACCCTCCTTTGGAGATGTACACAGATCTACACACACACAGACATTGTGTCAGAGTGAAAGATCTACACACACACAGACATTGTGTCAGAGTGAAAGATCTCCACACACACAGACATTGTGTCAGAGTGAAAGATCTACACACACACAGACATTGTGTCAGAGTGAAAGATCTACATACACACAGACATTGTGTCAGAGTGAAAGATCTACACACACACAGACATTGTGTCAGAGTGAAAGATCTACACACACAGATATTGTGTCAGAGTGAAAGATCTACAGATCTACACACACACATTGTGTCAGAGTGGAGGATCTACACACACAGATATTGTGTCAGAGTGAAAGATCTACACACACACAGATATTGTGTCAGAGTGAAAGATCTACACACACACACAGATATTGTGTCAGAGTGAAAGATGGTTTTAATGAGATTGATGGGATATCAGTTTTAAGCTAATTTCTGATTTGTTTGCATCAAGGCCTGCTTTTTGAAGTAATGAGAGTTGACAAACGGCTTCATTTTGGCCTCTGCCTGTACTCCTTGCCTTGAAAGCCAACAGTATGTATAATTGCTCACGCTATATATACACAACTGGTTTGTCTGGTCAAGACTTGATTGTTTACTGATTGCTGTGGTTGAGCTGATAAACAAACCACATCACTCACTTTGCACTTCTACCTGTGAGAATAACAGAAGCACACATTAATTATGCACACACTAGGTAGTACTACCATTTTGTACACCCATAGTATGTTCTGCATAATTTATCAGCCTATGCTGAGTTGTTGTCTTTTGACCTTATTTTCACTTGAATTTAGTGTTAGTGTATGGATTATCTTTTGAAGCTGACCTTACCACACAGAAGGAACATTTATTTGTCTTGGGTTTGAGACGGTGTAGCTTGATAACGGTGTTAGAACCTACACCGAAACGTCGCTCTTAATTGTAATAAAGAAGTTGTTCATCCATAAATTCTTATCCCTACTTAGTACTCCAACTTCTAAATGCCTATCAAAGAAGTTAGTGGCTAAAGTTCCGGGCATTTAGGGTAAAGAAAAATTAAAAGAACTATTACCATAAATAACTTTTGTTACCATTACAATTACTTTGTTACCATTTTTCCAAGTTTTCAGGTCAGATCTCATGCAGCTAGGTCAAGCATTCTTTACAAAGACCAAACATTACATTTTGGGGGTTTGGGTACACCATTGGTTAAAGGGAAGCATCCTTCAAGAGACTATGTTCCAGTTCCTTAAATGGATGCAGTGTGTGAAGCCCATTCCTGGAGATGCAATATTACTGGAAGCAGTGTAAAACCATTCTCATACCTTTGGGGTCCTGGGATTTGTTCATAAACATTATCTGGTCTATAGTGAATGAGTGAGTTTGATTTTACGCCGCTTTTAGCAATATTCCAGCAATATCACGGCAGGGGACACCAGAAATGGGCTTCACACATTGTACCCATGTCGTGAATCGAACCCAGGTCTTCGGCGTGACGAACGAACGCTTTGACCACTAGGCTACACGACCGCCCCTATCTGGTCTATAATATTTGTTTGGTATATTAGTTTCTTTTAAAATTACAAATCTTCCTAAAGTTTTTGAAATCAATTACTTTGTGCAACCAGTAATTACACTGACTAAATGATATTAATCCATCAAAGAGAACCACCTCATTCTGAATTCTGAAACACTACCAATGCACTTTGGTAGATTTAACAGGGAAGGGAATATTTGAAATGTACAAATGAAGCTATTTTATAAAGTACCAAATACTAAATAGTTGATGCAGTTGTACACTTATGTGAAAATAGAAATCATAGCCAAGCTGACATGACTACAAACAACATTGATCATTAAAACTTTTCCTTCAAAGGTCGATGCCAGAGAATAACCAACCTTGATTATGTACCCACATTCCATTTGGCGTAAACAGCAAATTAGAAGTGAAAATTATATGAATGGATCACTGAAAATCAGTGATGACACCAGGTGTTCAAAAGGGTCAGCATGTTAAGACTACTGAAGACAAAATGAACACAAGTGATTATCTGACTAATTCCGAAAATGCCTGCATGGTATACAGACCTGACATTCAGTAAACACAGTGTCAGCGAGACCAGCCCCACACTGTTCCTGCACAAGTGTCTATACATCTGTTCATTTGAATAGAAGCTCCACGTATTGACAGAGCTACTCTCAATTGCTTGCCTAAATATCCTCTTGCATGTGGCCAATCAATAGAGTAATTAAAGCTTTAATTCATTACCAGGTCCGCTTCTAGGCATGTGGACCATATTTAACCTCCCAGCATTTCTTCATGGGGGTGTTTTTAACTAAATGCAAGTGAGAGGCAGTGTTTGAAGGACGATTAGCTCACTCGTGCTAATCGTGCTTGGAAGCAAAGTTCTCTGTTTAAGCCAGGAACAAAATATTTGTGGGCCAACATGGTCAGTGAGGAGAATTTCAGCAATTTGTACGGCTCTTACCTTCCATATACCAGGAAAGGAAGCGGTTCCTGTGCAAAGTTTATTCAGAAAGGAAAAACGTGTATGTTTTTGTTTATAATTTGTCAAATTCTTTCCTAGAAGAACTGGAGACAAAAACTGGCTTCCGTGTAAATATTTTGTTTACTGCTTTGTTTGAAATAAGGAACAGCAAATGGTTGAAATGAATAGTTTTAAAATATCAAAGATGATAAACCCTGTATTTTATTTCCTTTCGGAGATGAGGATGTATGTCTGTCTGCTTCATGAATAAACTGTCAATTAAAGTGTCAATTGTTTAAAGAACTTTAGTTTTATGTAGCACTCAGTTTAGTATGGGTTGTATCAATGAGGGATAATGGTACATGAAGGCTTTATTGATACATTGTTAATTATGACAGGAAAGTTGTTATGAAACTATTATTGTGAAGTAAGTTAAATAGCTGAAGTCACTATTAGTTATAAGATAAGCATCAGTTTTACAAAATGTGAGGGATGCATTTTCTTTTTTATATTTTTAAACACACTGTTCAAGCTATATGTTTTCATTAAGTGTCAACAGATGTTATTTACATGAGATACATATGTTTGGTGGGACTATGTATTAAGTGTATTTCATCAAGTAAAAAAAGAAAGGAACATACATAGTGATTTGCTCTGTCAGAGGTTTCTAAATGCATAGAATTCTCTGGAAATGGCAGCCATGTTGTTCCCAATGGGCATTCTGTGATGACTAGAACCTCCCTCCCTCATCCCCCTCCCCACCCCATGATGGGGATCAAGTGGTTTCAATGTGTGACCTGGATGATTGTGTGTCATATGTTGATGGCTTTGGTCATGCCCCATGGGAGTGACCACTGGTCTGTCTGGCCGAGACATGATTATTTACAGGTCACTGTGACCACAGACTTGTAGGTATGTATGTCTGTGCTGTGACATATGGAGCAGGATTATTGAGGGTAGCTGCATAAAGCATCTCTCACTCTGTCACTCACTCACTCTCTCAACACTAACTCACTCACTCTGAAACCTGCATCACTTTCGGCTTTCCTCCCACATTAGGCTCACATGTCATGATATAACTTGGATACTGTTCAAAGCAGTGTTACAGCCAACTCACTCACAGGTATATATCCATTACTATGCATACTCCCAACATTCCTATAAACATTCATTTTCAAGGTCAATTGTCAATAGGGTCACCAAACCTATGACATGCTGGTGGGAGTTTCAAGATGATTCATATTAGTTTCAGTAGTCTCTCAATGTAGATTAAGCCTGAAAAGAAATATCTGACCATCTGAGGCAAGTCTACAATACTTTGGCAAGTCTAGATTTCTTCATTTTCAGGAAACGAGATTTCCTGGGCTCCTTTCTGTTATATTTTATGAGACAATTTAACAAAATCTTTTCACAGACTTAATGTTAGTCTTTCGTTTGAGATGAAGGAAAGAAGATTTGATAACAAAAAATGTTTAGGAAGATCAAGAAAAAAGACCTGGCCTTGACAAACTTTTCCAAATATCCTTCAAGGTTATAGAGCTGGGTTACTGATAAATTTAAGACCTTGTAACCAACTAGTGTTTTTCAGTGTCCTTGATAACTCACATATTTTCCCTTACACTATCCTTCTCTGGTGCTCGGTGGCCTCAATCCCTCGCAGTTCCCTTGCCCAGGATTGTGTATAATACCATGAGGTATGCACAGTCTTACTAAGCCCCTAGGCACTCATTAAAGACCCATCAGCACCAAGGTGTCAGTAACATGGATTAATTGGCCGAGGACAGACAGTTCCGGGGGACGAGCTACATACCTTCAGCCAGGTGTGAGCCATTTGGATGTCCACAAGGAGAGTCATGCCTGTATTTAAAAGTACACGTAATGGTGAAAAACATTAGATGTCTGCAAACATGGAAGAAAATGATATTGAATAAAATTTTTATCAATTTAGTTTGATTTGTAATTTTAAGAGTGCTCATGTGCAGAAGACTATCTGTTTGGTATAAATGTTTACCCTTTCAACATCTCTGACAACTCCAGATCTCTTGAGACTGAAACACGCCTGGACTTGGCTCGACCCCAGTCTTTAAACATTGCTGTCACATCAGCCAATTTGAAAAGGCAATTTTTCCTCTTTAGTTTATGGAATATTCAGCTATTAATGTATCCATGGGCAGTTTGGTGGTGGTTCTGAATATATATTTGACAGATGGTTTGGTGGGCTTCTTGTTCACCTGGATTAAAAAACCTGTTTTTCCATGCATTGTTTACAAACATCAGCTGTTATCACACAATGATGAGTAAATCAAGTACCGTATTTGACGCAATAAGTGCCCAGGATGCTCTCAAAATTAGAAATAGGGGGCTCTTATTAGAATATAATTTTGGTGAGAGAAAAAAAAAAAGAGTTGAAAGATTGTAAATTTTGTGGTTTATGCTGAAATGATACAAAAGAAAAGTCTGTGCGTATTATACATGACCGATATATTTTTCCAGAATTTAAATGCCCATAATTAAGGGTACATATAACACATGAGTGCGTATTATACACAAATAAATAAGCCTTGTTGTACATAGATCAATCAGAAGGGGTGCTAATTGGGATTGTTCACTAGCCAATATATTAGCAAATATCGACATGGGCGCTTATTAAAAAATGCTTGTGGCATGGTTTGATTCTTTTATGTCCTCTGACATAATACGTCCTTTGTAAAATACAATGAAAACTATTGTTTACATAACCTTGTTACATTGAGCATCAGTTACCCTACGTAACCTTTCATGGTAATAGGGGTCACAAGTGGCCCAGTCATCTAAGGCGCCGCAATTCGCTGTGCAGAGTTGCATCCCTTGGGCACACCAGAAACATATGATTGTGGGTTCGAATCCCGGTTCGCCCTGATTATGTTTCTAGGTTTGTCAGCACCATACCCGTGCTCGTGGGTTTCACCGAAGTGGTAAACGTCTGAGACCTGCATCACTTCGGGCTTTCCTCCCACATTAAGCTGACACGCCGTGATATAACTGGGATACTGTTAAAAGCGGTGTTGAACCCAACTCACTCACTCATTCATGATAATAATACCTCTAGACCTCTATACCATGCCCCAGATTGATGATACCTCTGTAATGATGTCAACTTCATGTACCACTTAATGCATGGTGCTGAAATGTATATTTTAATCATAAGACTTTTAGGCTTAATTCATTTATGAATATAACTCATGCATATTCATTGACCAACTCCCCTCAAGCCTCGAAGAGTGGTTTGTCCATGAATATGCATGAATTCTACTAAATTGTCCTGTGTTTTAATCATGATCACTACATTGCATCCATATTGAACATGTAAGGCTTAAAAAAATAAAAGAATTGGTTCTTGGGCAATGGCTTTTGAAAATACTGTGCAGGCGGGCTGTGTGTTTTTTGGGGTTTTTTTTGCTGGTTGTTCAAACTAGTATGTAACCAAATAAACAGTTGTGTACAATCAACCCTGGAAAGGGCCTACCTACATAAATGTATTCCTTGATGAGTAAAATACATGAATACAGTATTTGACTACCATTGGACATGGAATATTTAAGGATTTTTTGTTCTTTTTTAAAAATGGAAATAAAAATGAAATATGTGGCAAACTTTATGATGATGTGGGCGGTCCCAGAAAACCAGGACTATTATTTTTTTAGCCTAACTTTTATTGTTTTGGCTGTAATTTGCAGGACAGGAACGTGTGCAACTTTTTTTAGCATGTTCCCTTGTTAGCATGTTGTCATCTTCAATGGATCAATCAACTAGTAATTATCCACATTATCCACATGATTATCATCAGCAGCCATGTTGATAACACTACTTTGACTCATCACACAGCTGACTTTCCCATCATATCTACATGATACCACTGCTTTGATGTGTTGATGTGTTTGATGTGTTGATGTATGGGTGCTTGTGTAGCATATTTAACAATTAATTGGACAATATGTCATTTGACAGTCACGTGGTAATAACAAATTCAATTCAGAGACAGAGAACCTAAGTATTCTACTGACATATCACATCAAACTTAACATTTTACTTCTATACTGTTATTCAAAGATGATTTCATGTCACATACAAAAATACATGCACTTAACTTCTTGGTTTCACAGAATTATTTCTGACAGGTTTCTTGACACAATATTGACAATGGAACATGTTGACACAATATTGACACTGGAACATTCAACACTCTGGAATCTGTAGGAGACATGAAGATATGATGTTCCCAATGTCCAAACTGAGTTGCTCACCAGTGTATTATTAAGGGATTAATTATAGAGTATATTCGGTGCACAACAGTTTCGAAGTCTGTCCTTCGTACAGTGGGCGATACAGTGTTATTCACTTGCATTCAAGCAAGGCAATAAATGTTGTTGTACAGGTTGTGCTTTTGGGTTTAGTGACCAATAACCTATTCAATGTGACTCTGCTGATAAAATGTGTTTTGTGCTTCTGTCACAATGTGACATGAATCCTTGTGTTGTTTAGCATTGTGACCACATCACAGTTGGTGTTGCGGAATGTGGCATATTGCTCGAAGGAGATTGTCTTCTGAACGCTCGACTGATCTCACCTCAGCTTCTTTAGCTGAGTGAGTGTTGTGTACAAACACAAGGATCTTCAAACACGTTTGGCCAGTTCCACACCCTCCTTCCCTATTACATTCAATAGACTCAACCATATGTGTGTTTGGACTTGGCTACTGTGTCAACAGAGGGGTGGAAGGATGTGGACATGTGTGAACTGACATGAGCCACTTTTGATGGATGGGTGAATATAATGGGGACAAGTTGTTTTGGATGAGCTGCATGTCCTTGGATATAACACAGGACAACATTACACAGTTTCTTCCTCCATTCTGTATTGGATTATAACAGTGTGTGGCCAAGGTGGAAAGTTTATTTAGTTCAGCTGTGATATTCCTCATCACCGGTCTCTCACCTGACACAGGTAACGACTTTCAATGCTTGATACAAGTTGTCTCAGGATTAATCACCTCCTGACATGTTAGTCCATCCTTCTCTGCATGAGTGTGACAAACACAGTCTTATCACTATGTCTTTCTGTGACCATAGCAGACATTTATCTACTGAACCTATTTCATTGTCCATAAAAGTGTGAGTGCAGAATATGTTGAACGACATGTCAATCAAAGCCTTTCATTTCTTGATGGACACAAAAAATATTGCTTCTTCAGGTATTGTGACATTTTTAAGTAATTTGAAAGAGTCACTGCATTAATCATGAAGGTGTTGAAGCAATAAGTCTTAAAATGTCATGATGAACCTGTCAGCTAGGCGATGAATCTGGTGAGAAACTTTAAGATGAAGTTGGGTGTTGGTTTCCCCCTAATGTTACATTACTGACATTTCAGCGACAAGCATCCCGAGTCAATGTTGGACTGTGCCTTTAACAAGTTTTACCAATATTATAATCATTATGGTACATTTGTACAAAATGATGATTGATGAAAAGAATCACAGAGGATGTCAATGTGAGCGTAAATGTGATCCCCCTGAATATTTGTTCTGATGGAAGAGATATACCTAGAGTTTTGTTACTGTAGAACACCAGGGCTACAGATAAGCTGCTTATTTGCGTAAAATACTCCCCAAAAATATTCAAAACCCAATTACTTTAAATTATCTTGCATGCAGAAAAGCATGCATTAAATAAAATACTCAAATGTATAAAAACAGCATGCGTAAACACCCTATGAAGCTTTTTCAGCATTCCAACAACGAAGCTAATTTCTGAAATACATTTACGAGCTAATTTACTTTCTGAGTCAAGCCTATATATTTAAAACCGTTATATACATCTAAAACAATATTTCTTTTTTTTTAATCTTAAAATGTTCACTTATTTTTGGAAAAAAACAAAAGAGTGATGAATGGATGAGTAAAAAAATATTGGTTACCCAATGAAAGATGTGATAACCCAATTAAAATAGAAACCCAAGAGTAAAAACTCAATTGCTCAAAAAGTTATCTGGAGCTCTGGAACACTATACCTGGGAATAAAATTCCACAGGAACAAAACTCCTGGTATATCAATTCCACAGAACATATGTCCAGGGGGAACAAATTTACTCTCACACACCCAACACCCCTACCCCCTCCGGGGAATCCCCCAAAACATCTATTTTTTCACTCTGGAGTCTCATTGCTCAATCCTGAATCTGAAATAATATTTAACACAAATTGCAATAGCATTGAGTAATCATTTATTACAGGGGGTGGTGGGTTCGAGGTTTTTGATGCACAAATGTACTGAAAATAATTACCCTCCCCTACTGCTTGTCATATTTTTTTATGACCCTCCCCATGTCCTTGTACATTTTCTTTCATGACCCCGCCTTAAAAGACAAAATGCAAAAGCACTTTTTATGTCATTTTTAAAATGTCCATGTTTTCATGACCCTCCCTAAATACTGTATTCGACGGAATAAGCCCCCCGCTCTAATAAGCGCCCACGGCGATATTTGCTAATATATTGGCTAGTGAACAATTCCAATTAGTACCCTTCCAACTGATCAATGTACACAGGACTTACTTATTTGTGTATAATACGCACTTGTGTGTTATATGCACCCTTAATTACAGGCAATTAAATTCTGGAAAAATATATCTGTCGTGTATAATACGCACAGACTTTTCTTTTGTATCATTTCAGGCTGTCAGCATAAACCTAGAAATTTACGATCTCTCAACTCTTTCATCCAAATTATATTTCAATAAGAGCCCCCTATTTCTATTTTTGAGAGCGCCCTGATCGCTTATTACGTCGAATACGGTATGTGTATTATTTTTCATGACCCTCCCCGAGAGAGTCATGTTTTTTGGTGACCCTTCCCTGATTCCCTCTAACCCTAAGTCTCTTTAGGGTACAATTTAAAGTTAAATTGCCCAAAAATTAAAAAAATATATGATATGGAAAAGAAATCTTTACGTACACCATTATTATTTTTAATGGTGAATCTGCATACCAAATATGATTTTATTTGCTTCACGCGAACCACACATAAGTCCCAAAAACCCTTTAAACAGACCCCTGCATCCCATGTACAAAAGGGGGTTGGCAGCATCATCAATGATAATCAGTACAGTATATCTAAAATCACTTATCACAAACACATGTAAAGCAATGTTCCTATGGATGAGGGAATGAGTTGGGGTTAAGCTTGTAGGAGAAAAAGACCAAATCAAAGTGACTCAGGTCTTTGGTGAAACCCACCACTGTGCTGACAAGGGTGATAGTCAGGGTGAATTGGATTCAAACCCATGTAAAGTGATCCTACCAGCTAAGGGACACAACTCTTTCAAGAGCAAGTGTTGTAGCGGCCATAAAATTTCCGAGTCCTGTGATGGGATTCGAACCACGGACCTTCTGATCTGAGGTCTGACGCCTTGTCAACATGACCAAAGTGAGGTTAGCCCTGTCAGCAAGCTGACAAGGTAAGGATGTCATCTGTGGGATTACTCCACGCCCTCTACAGTGTGTTTCATGTCGCCTCATCTCATCTGTACCTCCTGCCTCTATTCACAATATACTGAGGCTCTTCAGTTGTTATAAACATTTCATAGACTTTGTGGAATCTTAGTATGGATTCTGGCTGTGACATTGGGTCCAGACAGCTAACACGTTGTGGTGTCTTAAACCACTGGGCCGTCTGTCGTTCATTTGGTGTCACCTGGGGATCCAGATGTTGTGTGCAAGGGTTTGCACCCCTTGTTTTTTAAGCATACTAAATTTGTCTACATCCATAAATGTAGTAGACTAAGTGTACACACTATAACTTAGTTTTTCTGTTTGTTGTTTAACGCTGCAGCAATATTCCAGCTATATGACGGCAGTCTATAAATAATTGAGTCTGGACCAGACAATCCAGTGATTGACATCATGAGCACCGATCCACGCAATTGGGATGATATGCCTCAACCAAGTCAGCGAGCCTGACCACCTGATCCCATTAGTCGCCTCTTACGACAAGCATAGTTGCCTTTTACGGCAAGCATGGGTTGCTGAAGACCTATTCTAACCCGGATCTTCACGGGTAACAGAGGACTATAGCTAGAGCTGTGTTTCACTTGGTGAACTTTGTACTATGGGAGTCTTAATGCCATGTTAAAGTATATGAGTTGTGAAATTATAGCCTTGGATTGTTTTGTGAACAAAAGGAGAAGGGGTTCCATAGCACTTATGGGACATATTTGATCTGTTCCTGATCTGTTGGTCATCTATCAGATTCCTCAGCATCATGCCAGTGCATGTGGGTGTCACCAAAGTGGTAACACCATGTTTTATGTGAGAACACATTTTGGATGTAAGACATTTTGGAGTTCATTCCGTCTAGAATGAGTGTCAAATATGGAATTATGTAGTAACGTTTGTCTGATATTTTTTTGTTATGCCTTTTGCTAAGATTCCAAAGTGAGCGAGTGATGGACAACAGATGGAACGTGGTAGCATCTTTAAGTTGTCATCTTCATCTTCGCATACGTGAAGCTTTAGGGAAAATGTACTTCTATTATGTTGATAATTACTTACTGTCAGTTTGGTTCATGAATGAACATCACAATTCCAAAGTACAAAAGAGTCCATTCGGCATTAAATTCATTTCCTTTGTATGATGTACCCCAGTAAGTCATTGTTAAACAAGTGTGAAAATATATGACACGGGTCCACTGTAATGCATCTTCCCGATTCAAGGGAATTAACTGACTATGAAAGTCCAGTTTCCACCCTTGCTGAATTATGCTAGAATTATGGAGTCATGTTTTGGCTGGACTTCTATGCATATTCCAATCAAAACGAAATTGACATCTGAATTCGGTTGATTGCAGGATTTGCAAAGAATGTGTACCGGACAACTTAGCATCAACTGATATTTTCCAAATCTTTTCATGTTTTTAATCAAGGTGCCCATGTGATTTGATGCACTTTGCAGGGTAAGACGCTTTTTATTACACTATAGACCTTGATTATCGATCAGATGCCATTTTATTTGAAGCAAATCTAAGTGATATGAGAGTTGAGATCTGATTGGTCAATAGGAGGGACAACATAGAAGGGACATAACTCGTGATAGCCACTGGTGGCGCTATGATTGACCCCAGAAATTCCAGCCCTCATTCAGCAAGGGTGGAAACTGGACCTTTACAGTCAGTTAATTCCCTTGCCTCAGGAAGATGACAGTAATGACTACACAAGAGAGGCCCACGTTCTATTCAGGTATAAGTCACAGGGCCCATCAAACCCTACATGTAACACTGTCATAATGCTCTAAGGATGGTTAATTACAGTCTTTCATCAAACAAGGATACTCCTTGGTAGCCGTAAGACCCTTTTCTCACGTTTTTTATTTGATGTTCAAAGGTTGAAATTAGAAAAGATGAAAAGGGAAAACAAACCAATCCTTTCTCTTCTGCATAACAGAAAAATCTTTTAATAAATTTGTCATGGCCTTAACATGAGTTTTTCTTGGCACAGCTATGCCAGTGCTGTTTATGATGTTAATATGCTATGTTTGTTCCAAGTTTTGTATGGTGGTAAAGGTGTGAAGATCGCACCTTGTAAACACGGTAATCCTCCTCCCACAGTGGGTGTTTGACAAGATCAGGCCATGCATCCGCAGAGTAAAGATGATGCTCGTCTCTGTAATTGTCGCCTTATCCTCTGTGCCAACATTGGCAAAATACAGCATTGTCAGTTTATGGATTTTGCAAAAGAAGAAAAAATTCTTTCGGGGCATGTTTTCTCTCCTCTTAATTTACAAACTGTTCTTCAAAAGATTGTTTTTTTCAACGGTTTTATTTATACATTGTAGCTGGATTTAGAGCTCTCAATATATTGCCCGTTTTCTACCTTTTATTGACAATGTTAGCATATAACCGAGACCTGTATTAATACAAGAAGTTAGCCAATCATATTGCTTAGATTCCCATTCC